ACCCTCTTACGAAAAGCTTTAACTTAATCCTGACCAGTGACAGGCAGCGGGAAACGGAGGGCAAAGGTGATGGTAAACCGAGCAAATTATTATGTTAGTGCAGGTAATATTTAATTCCAGAGTTTCAACACAATTAAGAGCTTATTCTTCGGGCATCACAAGTCGGCTACGCCTTTGGAGCTGTCAGCACAGAAGCCAGCCCCTGAGGTTCTCCCCAAAACCACTATTATGTCTCGCAGGGCTCAGATCCTGGCATTTTCTGGCCCAGCTTGCTCTGGCCGCCCCCCCATTTGGCTGCTACCAGGGGATCCAATCACCAAACCTGCCGGGGACCAGTGCCCGGATCTGAGCAGGGGTCAGTCACCGCCCCAGGCTGAAGGACAACGTGACTTTGCAGGCGCTTTCAAGTCTACCTAATTAGCAGCCTTCTGCCAGATGCAGCCTCTAATCCACTTGCCACCGGTGAGGCCCATTAGTGAGTGCTTCTCTCCTCACCTTAAAGCTTGAAATCTATTGTCTGATCCGCAAAGAATTAAGTTGCATCTTTGATTCAACTCAACCCACCTAGAAGATCTCGATACAGCAGCCGACCCATTTTAATTAGCACCGTGCTAGGGCCCTGTGGCATTTCAGTCCACCACAAAAGGAAGCAGGTAAGCAAGAGGATAAAAAGTAGCACATCTGAAAAACAGGACAGCTTGAAGAACTGTGGTGAACCTCAGAAACTACAACAACAGCGACTGAGAAATCCACCACTCATCACCTCGATAATCCCATACAGTTTTAAGAACATCTTGACACTGGAGTATAGAGCCAACCATCTTTCACCAGCCTCTCCTTCCCTCTCTGCCTCCCATGCACAAAGGAGACCTTATTCGACCAAATGAATTGGCATCAATGTTTTGGGTTGGTTTTTTTTTTCCCATTGGTTAGCTTCAATAAAGTGAATCTTAAGAAATCCCATTGCTAGAATCTCACGTCATTTTAAATACAAAGGTACAGAGTGTAATTTACCACTGCCTTCCCCCAAAATATTCCATAAGAAAACATTAATCCTGGAAAACAGCATAAACACAGAAGAAAAAAAACAGGCATAAATACCTTCTGAAAAACACAAAAGGCAGAGTATTCATTAGGTGGGACAGACCTCTAATCAAACTCAAAAAAAATTAACATCGAACTCAAGGAGCACCTACTAGTGAGAGTATTGGGTATCATTCAAAGTTGCCCAGCAAGAGAAAAAAAACACACAAAGTGGATCTACATCCTCTTCTCTTTGTTCAAGAGAATCAGAGTGGCAATGAACTCCCCCTGACCAAAACGAACATCTAGAATTTATCCCTCAGAAGTGCAAGTGAGTCATGCACAGACACCATTGCCAAGTCTAGATCAAGGAAAAAAAGGACTATTTCATAAACCTTAATGAGAGCTCAAACAGTAACATTAGCAATGTTTCTCTTGCACATAAAAACTACTCACTAAGTTACAAAGTGGCAACAGGTTTAAGGCTCAACACTAACTTAACTTTTGCCTTTAAAAAAAAAAAATGAACAATTTTCCAGATCAGATTACTCAAAATATTTATTCACAAATACATAGGGTATTAAACAGATGTGACTATGTTTTCCAAAGAGACACTGTCATTAGCATTGTAAGAGGCTCTGATGATATTTGTCAAGTGCACATTTTTAGGCAGCAAGAGAAAACTGCAAAAACTAAGCCTTTCTGTCAGACAAGGTCAGGTTTCTTCCCCGTCCTTAGGCGGCGCGCAGTTCCAGGCTAGACCAGGCTGCTTCCCCAGGCTTGAACAGAACCAGGCAGCTGCTAAGATGCAGCAGCACCGGGTGACTGCCGCAAACATTAGAATCAAGGTCGCATTTTTAAACCCATCCTCAAATTTCAAGATACAAGGAAAGGCTTTCTCGGGGACCAACGGTCATTGGCTTTGTTTATGGCTGTCCTCTAAAACAGCTGGTGCCTCCAAAAGAGCTTCCATGGAGCAATCCCTGGCAGGACACTTACTACACCTCAAATGTCCTGGAAGGTCATCTGTTGTCACACTGGTGGCAATGACGAAATTCAGGCAGTTCATCAACAAGCACTGCCCATCCCAAAAGGCGTGTTGTGGAGAAGCTCACCACTACGATCAGCTACTGCGGTTAGCAGGCTCATAAGAAAACAGGCTGCAATATCCTGACGTTCATTGGTGAAGAACTGCACTCTTACACAGACTGAGACATGTTAGCACTCGTTTTTCTCTAGTTAAAGGGCACCATTCCATCTTTTTGCTCCAGATTAAATCAGGCACCACCTGAGCAGACCTAGTAAGAAAATTCCTATCTGTTGTCATAGGCTTTATCAAATGATTTACCACTCAATACTGCTTTCAGCCATCTAGTGACAGGATGTCAGGTTCATTTTAGTAAATCATACCAAGGCGAGTAATACAGCTTCTGGTCTCTGTGTCCTAAGGCCTCTATCATCTGACTGATGCCTGACCATATATGAAGTATATTAATACACATTCAGTGCAGCAGAGATATGACCTGTCCTTTTATGCATTTCATCAGGGCTTACCTCTAGGAACTGTAAAGGTCAGTATCAAGATACCTGCCTACTGCCTGCATTAGGAAGAGAAATTCCACAGGCATTTGACTAAGAAAACTAGGAACAGTTTTAAACAAACAACACCACCAGTTTTCGTAACAGCACCTTTATGGAACACAACATTAGCTTTAGACAAGTGCCAGGTTACATGAGCTTTCAGTCCTCTATATAAAGAGAGCAGTCTTGGTTTTAGTCCATCCTGATAAAACTTGTAACACTCATTTACAGGCACAGTGCTTGGGCTATTTCCAAAGTAAATAAAAGGGCTTTCTATTACAGTGCTGGGAGTGGTTAACAAGAAAGTTACCTTATTACATTATTTTCCAGAGAATAATAATTCTCCTCCATTATGTCTCGATGTTATTAGGATTTCAGAACACACAAGCAATGCAATCCTAGTTAAGACAGAGAGGAAATTAAAAGGTAATGGAAGCTACAGACCAAATCATTTTCATAGTTACAGACAATTTTGAATACATATTTGCATGGGAAATTAGATTCATTTTTGTGAATAAAAATTCCATCTCTCTGCACAACAAAGAGAATTCCTTGACAGTAGAGGACTACACTGTGCATGGCTCATCAGCCTGGAAAAGAAAGTCTGGACTTCAGGCATATCCAGCTACGTGGATCAACAAGCAACCCCTTCAGATCCAGCAGCTTTGGTTTAATGGACGGAAACTTTGGCCTATTGTTCAAACAAACATACTTGCCAGCAATGACCAAGTAAGACTGGACTTTTTAAAAATAAAGCGGTGTGATATGTGCATAAAGTCAGTGCCTTGATCCTTAAAAGCACCTCTATAAGCAACTTCACCTTAAAAATGGGCAGTGCTTAAGTTACAAAAGATTATTTTGTTTACGATGATTGAAGAAACGGCTCTGCTTCAGGAATTCAAAAGATGAATCAGATTTAGTAGTAGATTTATTAATTTGCCGTGATTTACAGTGAGGTGACAATGTCTGAACCAAGGAGACATCAAAACAGGTTTAGCCAGGAGGTTTATGGCTTCCAAGTCAAATTCATAGACCAGTGTCAGTCATTTGGGTAACTGAAGATTCGGAGACAAAGATAAGCAGAGGTCAGGTGCTGCACTGATGTTTTGGAGACAGTATTCCAAAGTGTCTTCTCTTACAGCAATTTCTTTTTCTCAAACTCCTGCAAATAGCACACAGACATTACCAGCGGGGAAAAACAAAAATGTTCCTATTACTATTTTATGATAAATTACTTAGTATTTATCTTAGCAAATCTGATGTTAGGAATTAAAAATTAAAATATAAAATGCATAATGTGTGCAAGTTAGGGGAAAGGAGAATAAGTATTCTCCCACCTCCCATTAACAAACCAGATAGGAAAAACCAGTAGTGCTAGACTGCAGTCAAGGCACTGCACTCAGATTGCAATGCTCTCAAGGAACCATTTGCTCCCAGGCATACCATAACAGGCTTGAAAAACACTAATTCTGCACAAGAACTGCAGCAGAATCTTTACACTATTTTTTTTTTTTCCTGTGGTGGCCGTATAGTATAGCATCGTCACAGGCTTCTGTGGGATTCTTCCCTTCTGTTGTGTTTTTTCTTTTACTAAAATGAAAATCTTTACTTCGTTGCTTCCCTGGCTTGAACCCTTTACTGTACTAGCACAGCTGAATTATGCATTTCCTCTAGCTGTGAAGCAATGACTTTTTTGGATATGAATTAAGAAAAGTGCAAATAATCCTATTCCATACATAAGTTTTTCAGCAGCATGCATTCAACCATCATTCTGAATTAGTACTTAAAATAGACAGACCTATATGCCAAGGCTTTCCTTCCTCAAATAGCCTACTTCCAAAGAATGTTTTCACATTTTAAATTAATTCAGGTTCTTTGCATCCAGAAAACACAACTCAACAAGTTGGTACACTTGAAAGCAAAATGTAACCTCTTCCCTACTTTGCTCTGTTTACTTTTCTATAAAGGCAACATTACATAAACCTATGTGCACATATTATCTAAGTAATAACTGCAGCTTGTTCAGTCAATAGAGTTCTTGAGTTTAACCAAGTTCAGAGCAACAGAATATTTGGGTAAGAGATGTCCTCCCAACTCTTAGTCGCTCGAAAGTAGCTTCTTGCTCTGGATGAGTATGTATACGAATTTCCAAACAACGAACCTTGTAGATGGTGCTACCTAGCTGAGCAGGAGACATGCTGACAACAACGCCAGCGCCCTGAAGAGCGGCTATCTTCTCTTTAGCTCCACCCTTTCCCCCAGCAATGATTGCTCCAGCATGACCCATCCGCCTGCCTGGAGGAGCAGTCAGACCAGCTATGAATGACACTACTGGCTTGGCATTTGGACCCTGCAAAGAAAGAAAAGATACTTTTTTACATGGAGGACAGCGAGATGAAAAGTAATTCCAGATGGCAGTTTTTGGGGTTTGGTGGTGTTTTTTTTTTTTAAATTTCAACTAGCCAGGCAAAGATACAGAAAAGAGACAGCTAGTAACCTTAGACAACATGGAACCAAGAGTCTGAAGAGCATGCAATACTTTCTCTCCTGATAAGCAGCATAAACCAGAAGCAATCAGAAACTTTAAAACACCTCTCTACAGAGCCATGTATATTACAAAAAACCAGAATGTTCACTACAAATATCATTACAGGACTGAAAATCTAAAGTTGACACTGCTCTCCAGTTAGATTTAATCTGGATAAAGCTCCTAATTTCAACTCTTTCTCTTTAATAAAAGTATGACTGTTTGGGTTTTTTTGTAACTAGAGATTAGAGATTGAACTGAGTTTTCCTTGACATGGCAAAAGAAGATGGGGCTAACTACCAAGGTGTCTGGAAGCAAGCTGTTTAAGACTTACGGAATTATTTTCTTTCAAGAATGCTGCTGCATCTTCTTCAGCATTTCCTCCAATTTCCCCAATCAATATGATCCCCTCAGTATGAGGATCCTTCAGGAATACATCAAGGCAGTCAATAAAATTAGTTCCATTGAAGGGATCACCTCCAATCCCTGGAAAAAAAAAAAAAAAAATTAAAACCACAAAAAAAAGCCTAACTCAAGATGATGATACTGTATTTACAATAAAAGTTTCAAAGTAAATTTCAGCATGAAGGGTATTCCCAAAGGCTCATAAGAGGGGCAGCTCTGAAGGCTCTTCCCAAGTCAGAGCGTGCCAAATTCCTGCTCCAAATATCTCCCCCACAATTTACAGAAAGCTTTGATATCTGAATAATCACCTTTCAAACCATAAGCAAAATATTCTGCCTTATACAGAAGCTCCGTATAAGACACAGCAGGACAAAGACCCCAACTCTAGAATTTTACTGTCAGAAAACTGAATTTACTTAACATACCCAACTAAACGTATAACAATGCCCTATCCCTTTATAATATTAAACTTCCTGGAAAAATCTGTTTCCAAATCGATGTCATATTTGCTGGCAGCTCTCCATTCAAAGCTGTTTTTTAGGCTTTTATGTGGAAATGATAATAAAGAAGGGTTATACTTGTCACAGCAGATAGGGATCTCATTTCTCTACATAATTGCCATTCAGCAATTTCTATGCTTACAAAAAGAAATTACTTTGGACATCTTCTTGTAAAAAAAAAAACAGATTAGTATAAGTGCAATAGGCTGTTTCTGAGGAAACCTACCAATGCAGAAAGACTGCCCCAATCCAACTTGCGTAGTCTGATGAACAGCTTCATATGTCAGGGTTCCAGATCTTGACACAATACCTGTAGGAAAGAAAAGGAGAGAAACTTAACACTAACATAGCTAAGCACAAGACTAGAGGCAGCTGTTCTTATATTCATGAAAATCACCTTAATAAACCAAACATGAGATGCCAGGTTTTCCAGCTATCCTTGCCAAAACATGAAAACTGTATGTAAGACTCCATCTGTACTATTTCTTCGTTAGCATTTTTTGACACTTAATTGTCAACAGACTAAACCTGCCCAGAAAGTCAGTAATATTGGCTGAGACAGCATTCCGGATGCTACAGCTTTACAAGGAAAGAAAACTGAAAACAAAATAGAAGAATATACTTCTTGTCTTGTATGCGAGTAACTGATGCACTGAACTTGGAACAGAGTTGAAGCTCAACAGTTAATGTAAGAATTCCATATTAATCACATCTCTGGGATGGCCAGGCACATGAGAGATCCTCCAGAACAGAAACATGCTGCACAAATGCAAGTTATCGCTATTAAGGTATTTGCTGCTGCAGCTCACTGCTCTACCATACACATTCAGCATTTACATTACAATATTACAAGAGACCACAGCCCTAGTTTTAAATTCAGGATGGAAGGTAATACAGACCCTAGATCAGGGGCAAGATATTTGCATGGTTTTTTTGTTCTTTTTTCCAAGTCAAGATTTCTGTTAATACTACAAAAGGGAAGGTTTCCATGACAGACATCATCTTCCATCTACTTCAAGCTGTCTAACAAGGAATATAATAAATATATTGCATGAACAGAAGAAAAAAAATAGACCACTAGACTAAACTTCAGTTTTATCAACTCTTTATACTGTTGGACAGCACAGATGTCTACTAGCAAAGGTTTTTTTTCTTGCTATGTTTGCAAAGGGCTTCCTGTTTACTATTAAGATCAGATTGCCTCAGAGAAGCTACACATAAAGGTCCAAAGACTGTGCCTATTTTTATAGCCTGCATCCCAAAATTATCATATGATTCTTGGACGCTTCACAGCAACAGAAAGCTGGAGAGCTTATCACTAAAGGTCGTAGTGTTAGACGAAACTGGGAGGATGGCAAGGTTACATTTCTATTCCCCGATCTTTGGATCACCGCTGAAAACGTTTCCAGCAATGGTGGGACAACTGGATTTAGGATTTAAAATATTCTTTTGCACTTGCTGTGCCCTGCATTCAGATTCTAATATCTTGTGGCTACAAGACATTTATTGTAGATATTTAGAAAATCTTAACAGAACTTTGATTCAGAAGAGAGCTCAGGGCAACATCGGTTGATGCTACCTTTTACAGTCATAGAGCAATGTCTTGATGGTATCTACAAAGGGCATAATTGCAGTCATCTGATTTTTCAATTCCAGGTTTATAGGTATTTCTGAAAGCTGGAGGTGTGACATGAGCATTAACACATGCTCTAGCATTCACTAGGCACTAGTCAGAAGACGTTAAGTAGCAGAGATAATTTCTCATGTTAGAGAAACTGCGCTGAGTCCACGTAGTCAAGAGCACTGAACAGGTCTTCCCATAGTAAACACACTTTTCATCAAAAAAAGTGGTAATGTTGCAAAGGGTACTATGCTCAAGTTAAACTGGTTACCCTGCTGGCAGGTAACAGCAGCATACGCTGTCTGCAGCAATGTTTCTGAAGCTCTATTTAAGTACAAATGCATATTTTGGAAGAATTTTCTTTATAGCTCCTGAACAGAATTATTTTAAAAATAATCAAGTTCTTATTTCTATAGTTTAGAACAAGGAACCAACAGAAGTCAGGACAAGAGACTTGCACGCAACAGGGTGTGTAACTAACATACGATCATGAACAAGCCACTGCCTTTCTGACCTTAATTCCGCTGAGAAGTGGATGTATTTGTCACTTTTGCTCACCATGGTATAGTTGTCTAACTTGTCATGCTATAAACCCACCCGTAATCTCTTCTCTTTGCTATAATACTGAGCTCACTAAAGGTGTAGGAACCTAGTCCTCAGGAGCCAGGCTGTTGGAAGGAACAGTGTTGGAGAGCTTAGTGTTCTCAAATCCCCAGATAAATGGAGGTATCTTCAAAGGAGGGTGTTAAGGAAAGTAAGTCAATCACGTTACCTACGGAAACTTCCAATTGCTTTGCCTCTGCCATCAGTTCTCAGTGCCTGCTACGGTAGACTGACTGATTTTGGGCCTTCAAGGACTGATACGGCCAAAGTTCACTTACAAACTGAACGACAGACAAGCTGTTATACAGCATGTCAACTGTCTTCAGGGCAGGATGTGACTAGCCTCATGAACAAGAGCACTAGAGTACCAAACTTTAGTTTTAGATGATGCACAAATATTCAAAAACTCACCAATTCTTCCCTTCTTGTGAATGTGACCAGGCATGATACCAATTTTACATTCTCCAGGCTAAGGAAAGAGAGGGAGAAGTCGAAAGAGTGGGAGAAGTCAGATGGAACATTCAAACCATCACTAAGAATGGTTCAGCCTTGGAGCAAATCCAGAAGTCACTTACATTGATGACTCCAGGGCAGTTCGGGCCCACTAGTCGAGTCTTATCCTGCCGAAGCAGTCTGTGTTTAACCCGAACCATGTCCTGCTGGGGAATACCTTCAGTAATGCACACAACTAGGGGCATTTCTGCATCGATTGCTTCATTGATCGCAGCAGCAGCAAACGGAGGAGGTACATATATAACAGTGGCAGAAGCACCCGTTTGTTCTTTGGCCTACAATGAACATAACAAAAGATATGAAGCATTTAGTGGAGTGGAAGAGAACATTTGACAACTAGTCATTTAAAACACATCCATTCACAGGCATAAATTAAGTGAATTGGATATGTATTAATTTATTATAATCAAAGTAAGTGTTAAATTCACTGAAGATGGGACACACACAGTGCAACTAGGGAACTGAGAACTAACCACTGTCAGGAAAGGATCTGCCCCGTGAACACCATCATAAATACCCTTAGATAACAGTTTGCTAAAAATTCATCATACACACCAGAATCAATCAGAAACCTGTTGCATGCATAAAGTAAGTGTATCCAGACTCAGTGAACATCACAGTGGAAGCCAAACTCATGCTTGACCACACTGAATACTCCCTCTTTTACAAGGCTTCCATTTCACGCCTTGCACAGTGACATCCATGGCTCAAATATTTGTCTCTTCAGTGTGAGCAATGAAATAAGGAGACCTTCAGCAGCATTAAAGTGTCTGTCCTCCAGTCATTGCTGCAAATTACCTCCTTCACAGAATTAAACACAGGCAGACCCAGGTGAGTTTTTCCCCCTTTCCCTGGAGAAATTCCTCCAACTAGATTGGTGCCATAGTCCAATGCCTGCTGGCTGTGAAAGGTGCCCTATTAAGAGAGAAAATAAGTGAAGTTAAAGGCATGTAATAGCAAATAAAATGAACCAAAAAAGTTGATGTTGTCTATAATTCTGAAGGCAATTCACGGCACTTAAATTTGCAATGAGAAGGGAAGTTTTCACTACATATATACACCCAGCTATTTTGAAGAGTGCATCAACATGTTTTAAATGGATTCAGAATATGCTCTGCTTTTTCTTTTAAATCAGAGCACTATGGTTGCACGCTAAAGGGTATTTTGTTATGTATTGCTAATACACCTGCAGACATAGCAGCCACATTTTATTTTCCACATCAAGTCTGGCAGATGACAAACACTATAACGAAATAGAAGAAATTAGCATTCTCATCCATGACTAGCTGATAGTTTTAGCATGAGCAGTCTTCTCCCCTTGCAAACATGTGAAAGGGTGAATGTGAGAAAATTATTAAATAACCTGAAATAAAAACAGAAATTTAACTCATAGGCATTGACTTTCAAAGGCATTTGTGAAAGAGGCACTTCTAAAATGGTAAGGTTTTTGTAGTTTTTTGCAAATCTCCCTTTACAAAGAAACCCTTTCAGTTGTATACAATAAAAAGGCTTAAGACCAAAACCAACAACAAAAATCAAAAGTAATATAATAGAGATGACCCGAAACCAAGTTTTAAGCTTGTGCACAAGTTGAGGGAAAAAAAAGAAATCTAGTCTATTGAATTTAAGAAAAAAAAAAGTCTATTTGGACCAAAGAAAGGAAACACCAGTGCTGAAGGGACCTTCCTGATCATGAAGGCCAGCTTCCTATCAACACAGGCAAACCCAGTATATAATCCTTTTTATACATTATTACGGTTTTTGGCCAGATAACTTTCTGAACTGAAAGGGTGATAGAAGAAATAGTTCATATACATACCTGTTTGCCTGTAAAACCCTGACAGATAACCTTTGTATTTTTGTTAATATACAGATTTTTCCTTGACGCCGAGTAGGAGCAGTGTCGTACTCCATTCTGTTGCACTAGAGAAAAAAAGAAAAGAGAGGACAAACCATTAATCCACTTTGTTAGACTAAGTCAAAAAACTTCAAGTGCACATATATTAATGCTTGTATCAAAAGATGAATTGATCCAGTAGTTCATGCTCTCAAAAAGCAGTTCCGAAAGTTCTAACTATTTAGGGCTTGTTATTCTAAGATATTAGACACCTGTAGTTCACTCCACCTACTCAGTTTGCTAGGAATCAGGCTAGGTATTTCTCATACTGGGTACTTATCATCAGAACTCCAGTCACAACAAAAAACAGACAGAAACATCCTTTTAACCACTATTTTCATTTGTAAATGAACATGTTTCTGTCCTCTAAGAAATTCTGCAAAGTGACAAAGCAGAACTAAAACCCTGATATCCCACAGGCTGTTATAACGTAGGTACTATGTTTACCTTCTGTGAAGATAGCACAGTCCATGCTAGACAATGAGAGATACTGAAGATGTCAAGGGTCTCTCAGCCCAGGTGAAACCTAATGCCAAGCAAGACATACAGCAAGAGACCTTTTTCCAACAGATGCCTAGCTATGGGAGCCCAGGCATCACTGCTTGAAATGCACTTGGGCTCGTAAGAAACATGGTTCTCCAGATACTCCACTACAACCACTTTCAATTTAGTTCTCACAACTGTGGTACTGAAAAAACAAAACAACACAACTACAGAAGAACAGTACTGTGCATGCTGGCATCAAAAAGACAAGGAGAATGACTGCATCTCTGCTAAAGGGAAAGGTATGTTGAGATCAAATGATGAAAAAAGAAATGCACAGAATGCTACCATGCAAGAAAGCTTGAGATGAGGGGGAAAAAAGAGGTCTTCTGGTATAAAAAGGATGCACGTATTCCCTATATTCATTGCTATATGCTTTTTCAAATACCAGAGTTTTGAGGGGATCAGAACCGATATACTCCCTGCAGGTGTTTTACATAAAAAACATACTTTGTGCTTAGAGTGAACATGGGAGGGTACAATCCTAATACAGAAACTAACACCAGCATGTTGCAACTATGTACCTCTTTAGCTCTTTTAATGCTTTACCACTTAAGATTTGAGGAAGTAAAAAGTGAAGTTGAAATAAAAATAAGAGATTCTGAATCATGGTCCCTGGACTGTTCCACATACTTGCTCAGGCATGCCTGAACAAGAGAGGAGGTTTTTTTTCTTTTTCTATTTTCAGAAAAGAAGCAAAAACTATTAAGAGGAAGAAAGGAAAAAGGTATTCTTTAATATAAACTGCTAATGCACAGAATTTATTGAGATGCATTATTAACATCTTGAAATAACACAATTTCTATGGGGTAGTAAAAAAGCGCAGAATATTTAAGATCCGAGTATATACACATTTCTATCACAGAGCTATGCAGGACTCTTCCACAAGTACTTTTGCCAACTAAATTTCAGCGATACATTGCTTTTATGCTTTACTTCTATTCAAAAAAAAGTGAGAAGAAAAAAAAAAAAACAACATGCCAGAAGAAGATTACGGACATCAGTGCTATTGCTAAATTGGAAGTCCTTACTCTGTTCTTAAAAAGAGCTGACAGAAACACAGGACTTCAACCACCTCCTGCCATTCTCCAAGGAGCCGTGGCAGCACATCATCTTCAGACCAACCTGAAGTAAAATTCAGCTAGATTTCAAAGAGAAATATGTACAGACTAGCATGCAATAAACTTGCAAGAAAGGTGGTATAAGTGCACATCAGCATATTGACCATTAGGGTTTTAACCTAAATCACATCTTTATCCACAAATACTGTTAGAAAACGTTTTACGCCAAGGAGAAATACAAAGCAGGAATGGACAAAATATGTCTGAAGCTAAGATTTAACGACTAGGGTTGTGAGTTTGTCTGCGGAAGGGTAGAGGAAAGTCTTGTTGATCAATTGCCACAGCTACAGGAGACAGCACATGGTCTTCGTGCTTGGCCAACGGCTTAGCCTTCCTAGACAAGGCTGCGACGCCCTGCAGCCTGCACCGGAGCTGCAACACCAAGTCACTCAACTGCACAACTGGCAAACAGCAGCCGGCCTCCAGCAAAGGAGAGACAAGACAAGCAGCAGAGAAACAACTGACCTGCTGGTTAGGAGAACAGGGCATTGGTCTACCTGATCCCAGCCATTCAGGCAATCCCTCACGGGCACGGGATACAACTGGGTGAAACCCAAACTTGAGAAAAGCAGAGGACAATTGCTTCGTGAAGAAGCTGTCACAGTCAAGACCTACCACCAGCAATGCCTTGCGGAGAACAGTCTGGGCTTCCAGAAGTATGGGAGTGCATGTTTTGAAAGCCCTCTGATGGGCCTGCAAGGGTAAAGAATAAACAGGCAACACTAATTCAAATCTAAGTTTTACACATACTGTCTGTGTTACAACACTGACAAATCCACCTGCAAAACAAGAGAGGGCAGCTTGCCAGGCACATAGCACGCACTCAGTAATTTCAGTACTTGGGGGGAAGAAAAAAAAAATCCAACTTTTGACAAATAGTCACGCCTTTCTCTATACCATAAAAGCAATCCTACAGTCCCAGTTCAGCTGTCTGTTCCATATCTATTTTCAGGTATTTATAGCCTTGCACAAAAATGGTTTTGAAAGCTTAAGTTTGTCAACTCTCAGTTTTAAGAAGTCTATATAGATATATTTCTCAAGGATAAGAAGCTTTTGAGCATTTTCCAAGCTATCAAAGTACAAAAAAAAATTTAGGCACTGATAACTTAAAGCTTAAATTCCAAGCTTTGTATGGATTTACTCTTGAAAACTGTATGTGCTTCTTACATGACTGAAAAGCCCTGGTTCAGAGAAAATATGGCTGGTTCAAAAAAGCCTGGCCATAGGCTTGAGCCGTTTGCTGTCTTCAGAGAGAGGCAGCTTAGCATGGGCACATGTCTAGGGAGCAATACATTTTTGAAGAAATTAAAAAAAAAAAAAAAAAACCTTGCACTTTCTGGGCTGGATAATTCTGCGGTTTTGGGGGTTTTTAAGCTGTAATGTTACAGCTCTGGATTTTTATTTTTGAAGAAATTAAAAAAAAAAAAAAAAACACCTTGCACTTTCTGGGCTGGATAAGTCTGAGGTTTTGGGGGTTTTTAAGCTGTCATGATACAGCTCTGTGTTTCTCTCCATGGCTTTGTCTGAAGCAGAAAAGTTTGCCCCAGTTATCAGCACAGTAGGAGCAGCGGGGGCATCGGTCAAGATGAGGTTCTGCTACACATGGCACAAACAGCAGCTCCTGGGTGCAAACAGCTGGCAATTTAAACAGTTAAGACAGAGATAAGATAAGAAGGAAACAGGTGGAAAATCAAAATGCTGCGCCTAAGTTCACAGCAGATAAGAGTCAGAAATAGACTCCAAGTCTCAAATTTCCACCCAGGACCTTCATTCACTAGCTCGCACTGCTTCACAACTTCCAACACCCATTCAGGCAATTGCTTTTACTACAACAAATTAGAGTGCCCGAGTGTAAATGCATGTTCCCTCAAGATGACAGGACAAAAAAAAAAAAAAATTATTTGCTCTTCTGGTTACCAGGATTCAGCCATGAACCAGTAAAAGCCAAACTCATTGGTGATGCTATTTTAATGCACACGTCTAGATTACAGGCCACATTACAAAGGTGCAGGCTCCAGATGAAGCCCTACAGCATAAGGACAAGTCTCATCAAATCCAAATCTTACCAAAAGCACACTGAACTGCTGTATTTTGTATAATCAGAGGTCTAACATAACATTACTGTGTTCAACAAAGGTCCCTAATAGACCTTTTGAAGAGTATTAAAACTGAAATAAGAAACTGGACAATCTTTCCCAGGCAATCCCTTTCACTTCAGCCCCTGTTCTGCTTTGCATAGCTTGTGGTTAAAAAAAAGTTGTGCAAATAACAAGATGCATTTATTTTGGCTTTCCAGTACTTCAGCTTCTACACAGCTAAAGAGATGTACTGTGGCAAGAACCTATTTTAGTCCATTGTACAGGACAACCAAGTAGCTATGAAAAATGCTCCAATACCGAAACCCTGCTGTCTCAGGATAGATTTGAAGAGGGATGTAAGCCTGTATATAAAACATCAGTTGTTTTACAGTAAAGTAACTTTACTAGAAACTAAGAGACAGAATTACCTCCAACACACACGCTGCTGGTAGTTACTCTTGCATTTCCAGGGAACAAGGCTGCAGCCGAGCCCAGAACTCACTGTAGCCCAAGTAACAGGAAAACAAAGCTACTTTTACTTCTTAAAAGAAAACCCACAATTTGTAGCCTTGAGCAGGGCTTTAAGCTGCCTTGTGTATTACAACTAAAAAGCCTTTCTAGAAAAATACACTATTATTTATCATGAAGTCCAAACATGAATTTACATGTTAAAAAGAAAACTGACCCATTTGCAAGGTATTTTAAAGCACACATCAAATGCAAATACTGTTTACACTGAGTTTTCAGGCACTCATTGAGCAGCAACATCTCCCAAGCACAAATCTCATTTAAAATGATACAACCCAAGCTACATTTGCCCAGCTTATTTGTGTTGTGTGAGCCAGCTGACAGGACAGACACTAAGGGCTAAACCTCTTCCTCACTCAAACTTTACAAAGCTGAAAACTCGTTATTTTCAGGACTTCTTACAAGATTATCTAGAGCTACAGACATGAATCCAAGTCAGTGTGCTTCCCTCTTGCCCATGTTTATCCCAGACAAAAAGAAAATTAAGTTTGGAAGCTGAGGTAGCATCCAAGGGTGCTCACAAAATGAGCACAATACAAAAAGCATGGCAAAACAGCAGAGATTCCTTTCTAGAAGGACCTGAGCAGATACCTACATTGCCAGAAGACCGAAAAGTAATAAGTGAAATTCTTCCTCTATTACTCCTTGAAACAGCCAGAGAACTTGGAGATGAAGGAAGATATTCCTTTTCCTTTCTATTACCTATGTAAGGAAAGAAGAAAGCCTTAGAAATCATATGGGCTGCAGTACAAATGGGGAAAAGAGAGGTCAGTGCAGGGGAAACTCAGGGAAGGACTGGGGTACAAAGAACACTAGTCAAGATGCTAAGAAGTGGGGTTTTTCACACATCACCCCCTTATTTTCTATCAGTTACAGACCTCCAGTTTGTTTCCAAGAAATGCTTTCAATATTTTGTACATGTTTAATTTGCATTTTTATGACCATCCCCTTTCTCCTTCCTCTGCCTACAAATGCATGGCCTGAAGAGGACAGAACAAAAACAGTTCTGGACAGCTTCTTACATTACAGAAGAGTATAGATATTAAAAAAAGGTTTGGCAGAGAGCAAAGCGCTGCAGCAAATTTCAGAGTTTACTGACTAGAAGCTCAATATTAACAAGAATATTCCACACACAGTTTCCCATCCCAGTTCTTTATTAGGTTTTAGTCTTCATTATCAGGCTATATTCACACACACAATTA